CCCACCCCCTTTCTGCTGTGGACCTTCTCTCAAAATTCCCTGTTCATCCTCACCCTCCAGCACCCAGGGATGAAAACTGGCACAGTGGCGGTGGGAAGAGCTCCAACACCTGCTCTGACACTCTGGGGCTGTTCCTTGTGATTGATCAGTGCCCACGCCTTACTGCTTGTTAAATACAGCATGTGGCCTATCATCCCCTATTTAAAAGAATGTATTTCTTGGGACTTACGTATTCCATTTCCTGTGTTACATATCCACTTACATTTCTCACAGGAACCTCAAATTTCACATTTCATAAATGAAGTTTTTTTTTTTAAAGTTGAATATTGAGTAGTTAAGTAGTTAAATATTGAGTAGTTCAGTATGGAGTTTTATATATCCTCCCTAATAGCTTCCTTAACCCAAGCTGAGGGTCTAATGCCAAAGTACAATTTATTAAAAGCAAATTTAGGAGAACCAAAGAATGTATTCTTCTGGATGAATGCAATAACTGCTCATTATTCTGGCACTGTTCCAAAAACATTGTTTATCACAGTCCAAATTTTAATGAGAATTTAGCAACAAGATGTTTAAGATTTTAATTTGGTGAGACTAGACGAGCAGCTAGTTTGTGTTGCTAACTAAAGACAGACCCATAGGCATTGATAATGTGCCAGGTTGAGGAGAGGGATAGAAATTTTCAGTGAAACTACAGAAGCCAATCAGAACAGTTGTCTGGACAGATGGCCACTTCCTCTCAGTACTGAGGTGGCAGAGGCTTTTTCTTCAGAAAATAGTTCTGGGTCCATGCCAAATAGGGAAAAATGAGCACTAGAGCCCATTTATACACCAGAAATCATGGCCATGTTATGCCACCACAAGAAATCAGCAAAGCACATATAACTAAATCTCCTGATGACCATTTTTTCTGAACTTTATATAAACTTTATTGAGATAATTTTTATTAAATACAATAAATTAATCCATTTAAGTACACAGTTGGGAAAGTTCTGACAAATGTAATCACCCATGGAACCCATCTCTAATCGAGGTATATAATATATTCATCACCCTCCAAAAG